CCGTCAATAATCTGAGCATAGACTTTTAGTTTTAACTGTTCTGCAACATCTGTTTCATGTCGCTCGGATCGTGCTTGTGTGTTTTCATTTACTACTGTGTTGCTCTCTGTGCCTTTACCAGAAGGAGAAAAAAGTGAAGAAATCTAAACGCCGTGACAAACCTGAGAAGAGAAAGACTCCAACGGATTCAAGTGAGGAGTCGGAGGATGACGTTGAGCCCCCGAAACTCAAGAAATCAAGGAGTGAAGTTAAACAAAACGGTGAAACAAGAGAAGAAAGCCCGAAGACCACGAGCTTATCTTCCTTAAATGTTAAATCCACCCCCAAAAAACAGAACAACAATTCTAGTGAAATGCCAAATGGTGATGGTGACAGTGAGCAAGAGCAGGTAAAACTAACGATTTTTTTACTTATGGTGATGTGATTGGCTTTCAACTCCTGCGTTGCAACAAAGTTACATTTAAAACGGGTTATCTTTCCTTTTTTCCCCTCCCAATCAGTGGAACTACTGCTGTAAATTTTCAGGGTTTAAAGCTACTTGATCTGTCCTTTCTGTCGATTATTTGCAAAAATTTGAAATTATGGAAGTCCTGATCAGCACACCATGGCTTCCTCACTTCAACAGTCTGATATTGTGATAGTTGTTGGCAGACAGACAAGCTGCAGTGAGATGGTGCTTTAATATGATTCAGCATCATTAGATGTGATTGTAATTGCCACAAGTATAGCTTAATTGACTTCTTTTTGGTATTATAAGTGCTTCTCTAGTGAAATAAAAATTATTTGTGTTTTTGCTGGTGGAAAAAGAAAGGTTATGTATTCATATGTTTTTATATATCATCTTATTAAATAGTTGTTAATGTGATAAGATGGTCCTTAATGTAGTAAAATAGCGTGTTGTAACAGTTTTGTAGATCTTTTTAAGCCTTTCTATAAGAATGTTTTTATTTTGTCTATGTGATTTAAGTTTCTTTAAAATTGCTTGACATGAACCACGTTTTTTTTTTTGTATGGAAACATATCTTGTACCTAGGATTTGTTTTGAAAAGTCTCTGTCTGTGTCTTCTGCTGTTGCTTGGTCTTGCTTCTTATTCCATGTGATACTTCACAAAGCATCCATGGTTACCATTCACTCGTAGAATTTTAATCACTGTGCTCTTATAACATAAATGGAAGTGATGCATTATGAGGTAGGTGCATTTGATGCTCTGCCTCGTAGTGTTATTCTTTTGGGAATTTATTTCTGTATCTGTAAATAACTGTGCTGTATTAACTGGGAAGTAGGAAATAGACTAGATATTAAGCCTGATTCATAAATATTACAACTTAATCTGTTAGGCAATTGGTAACTATTTAAAATAGAGTGTTAAAATTCAATTAAGAGTTTTTTTCGGAGTTTTAATTGGAGTGTTTTGCATTTACAGGATTAAGCCATTAGATATGAAACAGTCTTAATTTAAATTACAGATCACTTTTGTCTGACTTTGAGATATGACAGTAAGTAAAACAAAGGAGGTTCTTTAACTGCAGTGGAGATACTGTCACTAAAAATTTGACCCTTAGGTATGACACCAGTGTCTATGCCATTAGCTTGAAATTTCTGATGGTCATACGATATTCACGTGGAATGTTATCTGACTTGTTTACCTAACAGGAGATGACTGAAGAACAGAAAGAGGGTGCTTTCTCCAATTTTGCTATTTCCAAAGGGACTGTTCAGCTTCTTCAAGGTAAATTTCTTGGCATGATGTGACCGCAGAAAGTAAATTGCCTGTCGTGTTTTTACGCTCAACATATTTGATCAGTGCGCTTTGAGATGTGCTCTGCCTGTGCATGTGCAATCACAGATGCTATGCAGAAGCCGTATTGATTGTCTGCTCTAAATACGTCTTTGAACATAGACTTTTCTGTTTGTACTATTGCCCAGTTCAGCCTCCACAGTAAAACTTTAAATGACATAAGCTCAAACAAAAATCCTGTACAAGGATTTTTCAATTAAAAGCGATTTCAGTGTGAGTAAAGGAAAACCAGTTATATTTAGTATATTTCATTTCAATTTGTGCATGACGGTGCAAATTAAGAGAAGAATAGAAGTGGTTTTGACATAGGTTTTATTTGAAAGGAAGAGATTTTCATGGATAGGTGGAGAGTATTACATAAATAAAGTCACAGTACTTAAAGGCTTTCATTGAAGGCTGGTAACTTCATCTGTCCCAGCTCGTACTATGTCTGCTGGTATGAAATGGGGGAGTAAAATGGGCGGTCCCAGGGCACTTTTTGCAGGTGACCTCTGTGATTAAATAAAATCAGTGGAGGTGGTGATAAAGTCCTGACTTGCTTTAGAGTTGATGGAAGTTCTGCTTGGGATAACGTCCTCTGAAGAGTATGCAAGAACACTTGTAAAATGACTGTATTAAGGAAGTCTGTTGAAATTTTCACAGCTCGAGGAGTGACATACCTGTTTCCTGTGCAAGTGAAGACCTTTGACCCAGTATATTCTGGCAAAGATGTAATCGCTCAAGCACGAACTGGAACAGGGAAAACATTCTCTTTTGCTATTCCCTTAACTGAAAAGCTTCAGGGAGACTCAGAGGAAAGAAAAAGAGGCCGTTTACCAAAGGTAACTTTGCTTAGTTACAATGCTGATTTTGCTTTGTCTTATGTCAGAGTGATTCAGACTTTTAACTCACTGGAAAAGTTCTTCCAGTGTGTGCAGGGATAGGCTAACCCACATTAAAGAGTCTTTGAAAGTTGTGTTTGTTGGGCTTTGCCTGCATCCTGTGCTCCCCTCATACCCTCTGATCAAGTGTAAAGAGCAAAATAACTCTATCCACTTGTCAATTCCTTTGTCTGCTTACAAGGAGACCAAAACTACAGATTTAATTTTTAATTTGTGCAATCACCTTACCTGTTTGGGTCCAGTGGTTACCGGATGCTTGTTTTACTCCCAAATTAGTAACAGATTAGTGACTTTTCTGTTTTATAAAAGCTACCTACTTAAACATGTTTGTTTAAACATGTAAATAGTGGGAGGTTTTAAAAATAGACTATTTTCACTAGAACCACCACTAGATACTGAAGTTTCTGATCCCGAAAATGCAGGTCCATTATGAGCTGTCTGCATTCTGTAAGGGGCTAGCATGTATGTTTTTTTTCACCAAATTCTTATGATGTCCTCCAGAACTAGATAGGCTAAAGCTTATCGTATCCGCATTAATAGTGGATTTTTTTTGTCACTTTATTTCATCTTGTCACCTATCTCATAGGTTACCTGAAACTCGTTCCAAAACTAATACTAGCTGTTTTATTAGCATCAGCCTGTCATGTTGGCTGACTGACTGAGAATGCTGGCTCTAGATTTGGCATAGTCGTGCAGAGAAGGGAAACCTTTCTTTGAGATAAAAGAAGAAAAAGAATATAAAGATAAAAGAAGAAAAAGATTTCAGGCCTCACTCTACCATAGTACACCACTACTCTCTTTTTTTATAATGTGTTTCAATGTTGAAAGAATTAACAGGATAAGGATTTTAAGGTTCTTTCTGTCAAGCCACTGATTACAGGTTTGAGAGCAGTACTGCAATCACATGGTAAATTAAATTAGTTAAAACTCCTAGCTAGTAGCTTCTCCATCAGCTGTGGTGAAGCCTGTATATTGGAGGAAAGGATGGTTCTGTGGTTGCTTCTGCAGGGATATCAGCACAGGCTCCAGAGCCATGCTGAACACCAGCTTTCCAGGCTGAACATATGTTTCCCTGAGTCACAGGGAAGCTGAGAGACAGTTGATAGCTCTTTCTTACACCTTCTCACAGGACTGCGAAGCATTACCAAGCATGTGTAAAAACCTTCAGTCTTGTACTCAAACAGCATATGTGCATGTGGAAGAAAGCTTGTAGCTGATCTGTTCAAGGAGATTTGAGTACATCTTGTCTATTTAATTTAAAAAGAAGTTAGCCTGTCCTAAATCAGTATGTGCTGAAGGAGATTAATGTTACAGGAGACTTAAGCAGTGTGTTTCTCTAATCTTTGCTTAGATAACTATTTAAAGCAGATTTTTTTTAATTTAAATGTAAAAGATCAGAGTTTAACTACTGAAGTGTAGTGGTTTCTTGCCAGAATCCATGCTGAGAGAACATCCCTCTGTCTTCTGTCTAGGTACTAGTTCTTTGTCCAACGAGAGAGCTGGCAAACCAGGTTGCCAAAGATTTCAAGGACATCACAAGAAAGCTAACAGTGGCTTGTTTTTATGGAGGAACTCCATATAATGGACAATGTAAGTAACACTTAGAGCTAGTAATTGAAATGTTGATTGGTTGACATATTTAAGAAATGCAGTTGGGTCCTTCCAGACACACACTTTTAACTCAAGAACTGGAGAGTATTCATGGGGAATCGAGCAGCTCAGAATAGTATTCTTATGGTGAGATTATACTGTGTGTATCCAGAGTATTTGGATTTAGATTCTTATAAACGTTTATATTTTCATTAAAAAATGTTTAGTCTTAGAGCTGTGAGTTTGTTTGGATTTTTTGTGTGATATGGGATATCTAGAGGATTTGTAAAGTGGAGAAGAATTTATATTGTGGCAGCAAAATTTGCCATCTTGATGGCTGTAAACAAAGCAAATGAGAGCAGGGA